TAAGTAGCCCCTTAAGCCGTCAAAATTTGAAAAAATTGCATGTAAACCCAAAAAAATTGCAAGAAATCATGAAAAATCGAAATTATCGAGATAACAAATTTTTGGATTTGGATTGAGTATGATTTTTATGTATTTTATTCAACTGAATTTGAATCTGAAGTTTTTTTGCCTCATTAACGTTTTAGAATTCAACAAATTCTCAAAAAATCAAGAAAATCGAAAAAATTGCAGTTATAAATATGAGAAAAAATCTATTTAACGCGATCGTTAATGAGTTGGGTGTATTTTCATAAATGAAGTAAGATCTTAGAATTGAAAAATTAACAATATTTTTTAATCTATAAATAATGATGTATATCTAGAATGAACAGAATGATTTTCTCGAATTTTAAACTGTTCTTCGTTGGTATCGAACTCTTTTGTTCTCAAACGATCTTCATCCTCAGAATTTTTACCTTCAGAGATTTCCTATTGCACTTCTTCTTCCATTTGCACGTCTTATTTTTCTACTTTTAACTTTTTAAGAGCCTCGATTTCATCTACGACTATTGTTTTCTGTAGTTTCATAGCTGATGAAACATTGGCGTATTTTATTTTATTTTTCTTATAACCTGCATTGAAAATGCGAGTTTCAATACCTATCGAGCCAACCAAAACAAGTCAATTTAAGACCAATGCGACTGTTCTCGGGCAGGAATCAATTATTTCTACCCAGCGGTCAGAAAATGATGATTTTCTGCCCACGAGATCAAGTTGCAGCAGATATTTTCAATCCTATCAGAGTATCTTTTGTTTATTTTATACCTTTATAATAAGCATTCTAACCGTTAACTGTACTGACATATTGTAATTCTGTTCCTAAGCATAAATAAGAATGACAAAAGAAAAGTATTCAATTTCCGAATAATGTTTAAGAAAAAATAAACCATTACTTTCTTGAATTAAAGTTTTTGATTTTCTTAATAAGTTTCATAATATGTAACGGAGTGATCGCTACCCGGTAAAGTCCCCGTTTCGGCACTCAGTTAGTTATCAACAGGTCACAGTGCGCTGTGATTTAAAGCCCTTGTTTGAAGCCAGTAGCAAGGCCTCAAGGTGGAGTATCCGGCGTAATGGTAGTGGGGGGAGCCAAGGAAGAAACAACCGAAAAACTAATTTTAGAAAAATTCATTGTGACTGTGCATCTCGTCGAAGTGACTAAGGAAAATAGAACAGACCAAGGTGATTATTCGTTATCCGCTTGACACGATAAATATAAGAAAAATCTAGTTGTTGTATGAGTAAAGTGGATTTCAAAAATTTTAAATTCCAATGTTCTCCAAACAAATCAACTGATTTTTATACAGTTTGCGGGATTCAATGCAATTTTTGAAACACAAAAAGATAACTTTTTACTACGAAATTAATCTGAATTAGCCTGTAAAATAATAAAGCCTGCAAAATTGGTACCAAACGACTTGGAAAGGCTTCACCAGAAGCGCCGAAGTCTCCTGCCCTAATGGACAGCATTGTAGCGGAGCTTCTTTCTAAACACCTGCCGCAGCAGAAGGAACACTATGATGAAAACAGCGAAGTAACACCCTTCACAACTAAGGAACTACAAGACGCGACCAAGTCAGTCACAACAGGAAAAGCACCTGGACCTGATGGCATCCCGGCATCGGTGATCAAAATTGTAGCCCTGGAATACACAAATATACTCTTGAACACCTACAACGCATGCTTGGCAACTGGCGCGTTTCCCGCGGTCTGGAAGTGGCAGAGATTGGTTCTGCTAGATAAAGGCAAAGGTGGCCCTGTAACACCCTCGTCGTTCAGACCACTTTACATGCTAGACATTGATGGGAAATCGCTCGAAAAGCTTATACAGGAAAGACTACGAAACGACATCGATAGTGCTAGAGGCTTTGCCGCAAACCAACATGGCTTCCGGAAAGGTCGTTTAACAGTCGGCGCGATCCAGAAAGTCGTAGGGAGAGCGAGAGAAGCATGGACTGGTAGCCTCAAAGCTCGTAAAGTATGCATTCTCCTCACGCTAGATGTCAAAAACGCATTTAACAGCGCGAATTGGGGAGATATCCTAGACGCTCTGGAACACAAATTTGACGCAAAGCCAGAGAATTTAGCACTAATCGACAATTACCTTGAAGAAAGAAAGCTAATAGCAGAAACTACAAAAGGATCAAAAGAATACGCCATAACGGCTGGCGTGCCGCAAGGCTCAATAATGGGGCCCGATTTATGGAACGCGGACTATGACAAGCTTCTTAAGATTCCGTTACCAAAGCAAGTAGAGTTAACGGGCTGTGCAGACGACGTTGCAGCTACGATAATAGTAGACAGCGTAGAGGAGGCCGAACTACTAGTTCGGAAAACCATTGATGCCGTCGATACTTGGCTCGATAAACACCACTTAAAACTCACCAAGAACAAGGATAAAGGCGAAAACGTAGCAAGAGTGGCAGGACCGATGGACTTCGGAATAGACGGGCAGACGGACAGCGCGCCTGATCCCAAACATCAACGTCTGGCTTTCTTGAAAGAACGGGGACACGGACTTCTTCCTGACCCAGCTATTGACGGGACATGGGCAGTTCAATGACTATCTTTTCAAGATGGGTTTGCACAGCACACCAACGTACAAATACTGCCTAGACAGAATTGACAACGCCGAACACACGTTTTTCGAGGTGATCGGTAAAAGGACGACAGAATCAGCATCGAAGAGACAATAGGCACAAAGCTCTCCCCTGAAAGCCTGGTAACCTGCATGATCAAAAAAGAAGAAAACTGGTCAGCTGACGCAGCCAACACGCAGCGCCTTTCAAAAGTAAAATTCGCATAAGGGGATTAGAAACCAGTATTAACAAGAAGTAGGTATCGTGAGACACAACATGGACTGGATCGAAGTAATGCTAACGCGGTCTCGATCCAGTCTTCCTTGTAACATCTATGGGGAAAGGAGAGAGGAGGATGTCTAGTCGGTATTGTTGCAACTTAATACTGACTTCTGAGTCCGTTATATCCAGGCACCAACACCTAGTCCTAACACCAACACCAAGTCCTGGCAGACGTAAATGTGTTTTACCTTCTCTATGAAAAAACATGCATACATCCATACGTACATACATACAATACATACATACATACATACATACATACATACAGACAGACACACATACATACATACATACACACATACATACATACATACATACATACATACATACATACATACATACATACATACATACATACATACATACATACATACATACATACATACATACATACATACATACATACATACATACAGACATACATACATACATACATACATACACACATACATACATACATACATACATACATACATACATACATACATACATACATACATACATACATACATACATACATACATACATACATACATACATACATACGATACATAATTACTTATTATAAATCGACTGTTATTTATTACAGTTTACTTTTTTCCGTGAATGAATATATTACTTACCGAGGCATAAATTTTGTACATTTTATAAATTCATAACAATAAATATTTATTTAAGTGACTGTTTGCATCTGAATTTTGCTGACCAAATTTCTAATTTAAATTTTTTATAAAAAAAATCGAACAAAGACGATTCCGAAATATTTAGAAAAACAAGTTTTAAAAGTGCTTTAATATGAGAATACTTTTAAAAAAATATAGAACTTAAATGATTCATTGTATAAACAATCATTTTTCTTAAGAAAGGTTTACACTTTTTTCTGTCTCGCCTCTATTGGACAGACAGAAGTATCTCTCTCATAGTTGTACAACAAATGGAATCTTAAAACTCATTTTATACATAAATAAATCAAAATTTTATATATTTTTAAATTATCTATCGAAGAACGAAGCGTTGTTTTCGAAATTTTATCTTAGAACACGTTTGAAAACTAACTATTAACCGCTCTTAACATCAATAACTTATATTCTTCCCTTTATTTGATATGAGATAAATGTCATCAGATTTTTATGAGTATTTATTTCGTACAATTTCGATACTATTTCACAATAATTTAAATAAAAAATTTTTTATCTTGAAGTACGCACTAACTTAGTTTTTAAAAATTGTAATTAACTTTCATATCTACACTGAAAGAAAAAATTTATTTTCGAAAAAAAGGGCATTGCTGTGACAAGAAATTACTTTATTGAAAATTTTAAACAATTTCATTTTTTAGCTTAAGAAATAAAAATTTTTCTCACAGTAACTTTCTTGTTGAAAAAAAAATTTTTTTGATTTGGAAAAAAACAATTCTAGATAGACAAGTTGCGAATTTTCATCCAAAATTGTTCTTTCCCAAATCTAGAAAATTTTTTTTCAACAAAAAAGTTACGGTGAGAAATATTTTTATTTCTTCAGCCAAGAAATAAGATTGTTTAAAATTGTCAACAAATTAATTTCTTATTACAACATTGCTCATTTTTTTTCAAAAGAAATTTTTTTTCTTAGTGTAAATAATTTTTAAAACTGCAATATTATATTATTTCTATAACAAACAAATTATTTCGACAAAACTATATAAAATTCCATTTAAAAACGATACTCAAGAGAAATTAATTCTAAAAAAAAAAATCAATTCCAAAAGTAGTATATATTAATTTTACTGTAGTTCAAAGATATTATTTAATTAGTCATAAATATAAATGGTAGTTAAAGTAATTACTTTTTTCTGCCCTCCGGCCGGAAAGTGGCAACTTTCTGGCCGCTGCGCTAAACAAAGTTGCCACATTCCGGCTACGTCGAGCAGAAAAATAGTATACACACCTTGGCCAGTAAAAAGTAAAGCCTCAGACCACATGTTTGTCAACCTCGGCTTCGCCTCGGCCAACAATTACATGTGGTCTGAGACTTTTCTTATTTTACTGGCCTAGGTATGTAATATACTATTTCAATAAAATAAATGTTAAAGCTGATTCAACTCCACCAAACACAACTTATATGTGGAAATATGAAAACCGAACATTGGTAACATGTCCTATGAGAAACGGCTATGTCTGCATTAAATATTCTTACATTTACAATACAGCAGGTATAATCTCATAATAAATAGCAATAATCAGCAATAAAAACTTTGAATTATTATTTTTAAAACAAAGTTTTGTCTTCCAGTGCTCAACTCATCGTATTTCTGTGGTAAAGTTATTGAAGACAAAACGGTGGCCATTGATTACGGTTGTTATACCCAAAAGGTTATCATAATTTTTTTTTAGTTTAGCATCATAAAACTACAGAAATAATTACGAATAAATTTTTGTTTCTGTTTTTGCAGAGAGATGGACATACGATAGAAGTATGCGCATGTAAATCAAACGGAGGGATTATTCCATGCAATTCGTCGCCGGAAATTAGTAATTCGTTCAATAAACTCATTGTTATAACATGTTTTATATATTTAATTCCTGATAAACTATTATTAGCATAAATTACAACAAAAAATTTTAATTACAATCTTGAGTCCTATTTAAATTTCTTTGATCCCTTCAAATATTGAAAATTTTTTTTTTCCTCAAGCTTATAAAATTCAACAATTAACTTTCCAAGCGCCACAAACAATTTTTTAATGATTTTTAACTTCCCGCTAAGAAAATCAATAATTTTCAAAAAATCGGGAAGTTATTGTTTTCACCCCGATTTTTGAAAATCGAGTTTTCATCAGATCTCGACGTTTCGAGGTTCTAGTAATTCCTAGCTTAAAGCTATTCTGGCTAGTTTGGCGATGATGTCCGCATGTCTCTGTATGTGTATATGTGATTGAGATCGAATTGGGACGGCAAATTCTGAAAATACCTAAAAAATTTTAGTTTTTTTAATTTTCAAAAAATGGTTTTTTTTTAGTTATATTTCAAAACTTCTGTTTCGATCAGTTCTATGATGTATTCAGCTCTTTAACTCAAAAAATGACGCCGATCAGAATTGCTTGATTTGTTTGAGAGATATCGTTGTCGAAAGAAATTTCGAAAAAGTGTTTTTTCAAAATAACTTGAAAAATTTTTGTCAAATCAATTTTTGTCTACTATTTTTTTGTTCAGTTCAAAAAACTGCGTTGATTGCCGCAAGCCACATGAAAATCGATTGATTTTTTCAAAAGATATTATCGAATTTAAAAAAAAATAACAATACATGGTTTTCCAATAGAAGTTTTCAATTATTTATGAGAACAGATCTCTTCCTGAGAATTTTGATAGAGCTCTTTTAACCATGCTAAATACCGTCAAGTTTTCCTATATCGGATAATTTTTAATTTATTATAAAAAATCTAGAATTTTTATTAATTCAAAATCAACTACTTTTGTTATACAATATTTGCATGTCACTTCAAAAAAAAAAATTTCAAAATATTCAAACACCGCATAATCAAATCACTTTTTTCCAACAGAAAAAGAGTGCAAATTCTACGAAATCTCAGAAACGGCACAATTAATTATTTAATTCTTCAGTTGTAAAAATGCATGAAAAAACGCATTGCGTCTCAACAGTTTTAATTGTAGTCATGGTAATTTATATCGGGGAACGTTTTTAGAAAATTGAACACAAATGCTTCTTGAAAACGTCCTTGAGTTGACACCTATTAATTTTTTACTTTTTAATTGTAATCTTCTAAAAAGTCAACGTTTTATTGTGCATGACTTATATCATTATTCTGCAAAGAATAATGATAATAATAGTAATTACACGCCAGCGCTCTTAAAAATGAACCACCTTCTACCGGTAAACTAAATAACTTTTGTATCTTTCAAATCCCACTATATCCAATTTCCCGCCATATCCCATAACCACACAAGCATTTGTTGCAATTTGTTGCGCCCAATTCTCACTAACTATTTTGGTACTTATATTGAACATAAAATAACTATTTAATAAAGTAAAAATATAAAGTTAATAAAGCAAATGCACAATGAATAAACGCAACGCATCAACGTCAAAACCTCCTGCCAAAAAAGGAAAATTCAAGTAAGTGATTTTTATTTATTTATCATTGCTTATCATTCATATTAATTTTTAACCTATCACTTGCCTTATAATTATGATTATTTTCGTTTATTGAACTATTATTAATTTAATTGATTTATTTATTAGCGACGATGATGATGATGAGGAGCTACCCAGCTCTTTTGTCGCCGAATTGGCGACAATGAATGACATGGATGAGGACTTTGGCGATGTCAGTCAGTTTTTTGATGAAGAGGTATTTTTATTATTAATTATTGGTTTGAGTTATTTATTTATTTAAGTTTTTAATGATACTGAAATCAGCAGACACTTGAATATTTTATTTTTTTTAAATGATACTGAATTTAGTAAACATCTGACAATTCTTAGAATTTTTATAACAAATCCGTAAAAAAAATATTTAAAAAATTTGACACTTCCAATTTTTAAAAACTTCTACGTGTAGAATTTTTATGGTTATTTTTTTTTTTGTTATAAAAATTTAAAAAATTGTTAGATAAAATTTTTACAAAATTGATACTAAGACTTTTTTCTATTTTTTAAATGTACAAATTTTCAGTTTAATTTTTAAAAATTTCTTCATTAAAATAGCCAATACAAAAAATTGTCACTTGTATGTTAATTTTTCTAGTTTTTTAACTTCCCGCTAAGAAAATCAATGATTTTCGAAAAATCGGGAAGTTATTGTTTTTACCCCATTGTGCAAAAATCGAGGTTTCAACAGATCTCGACGTTTGGAAGCCCTAAGAAGCTTTCCTAATTTTTTTTTTTTTATAATTTACGCTCGTTAAAATAAAATTTGTTATAAATTTAATGACACTCAAGTTGAGAAAATTTTTACTGTACTAAAATTAGCAGACTTACGACAATTTTCGGATTTTTTTTTTAACCAAAAAATTATCATAAAGAAATTAAAACAAAATTTTAAAGCCAGAAACATGAAATGCGCAATATTTGATTACATATTATATTTTGTTGATGCTATCTGTGGTCTAACATTTGTAATAAGTAATGTTAAACTAAATTGTAATTTTATAATTTAAATTCCTCTAAGTAATACTGAACAAACAATTTTCAACTTTAAAAATTTAATAAAACTATAGATAAAATTGTATTGAAACATTGTTTTTGTATAAATTGTTTAGAAAAATAGTCAACTGTTTGCTGATATCAGTATCAATTTTTTTTTTCTTTTAACTATATCAATGACAATATTTGATGATTCATGAGTATGATTGTAGCCGACGTCGGACAATTTTTGAAAAGTTAACGTCATTAAATTATTAAGAAATTAATAACATAAAAAAAAATTGTCTGACATTCGCTGCTATCAATACCATTATTTATTATTATTATTATTATTATTATGTAATAATAATAACTTTGTTCTATAGTTTGGTCCTAGTACTTCTGATGATAAACAAGTAAATAAAGTGAGTCGAGTAGTTTATTGATGCTCAATTTTCAGATCACGTAGAAGTTTTTTTTTAGCTTGCATCATTGACAAAATCATTTATTAGTATTAATAACTAATTTTTTTTAATTTTGCAGTCATTATGCTGGTAGAAAATCATTAAGAGTATAACTTGCTGCTTGCAATTCATAAAATTCTTTTAAATCATAATAAATTTTTACCTAAATCATTTTCGCATTTACAACTTGAAACGGCTAAAAATATTTTTTGTTTGAGCAAATTTAAAGAAAAAAAAATGTATTTTACCTGTTTTTTAAAAATCTACGACTTATCTACAAATATTGACGGAACGATTAATCTTTAATGTAATTTTTACATCTTAAGCTGTGCTAAACGCAAAGGTGATAACTACCATTAAAGTAATGGGTTTTAAGCATTAGATTTTAAAATTTATATATTTCTTCCTTATAGTTAAATAACACAAATAAATAGTTTATTAAAAATAATTCTATAAAGAAACCGTATTTTTCTTCTCAATTATGAATATTAAAGCATTAAGCCGTATTAGGAAAAAATATAATGATTTCTGTTGTATCTGAAATAAATACGCTAATAAAAATCAATGTGTGCACAAGATACGTTGATACGGTTACAAGACAGCTGAACCACAGACAATTGATCCGTGACGATCATAAACGATAAAATTCTTTATAAGGGTGAAAATATTTATTACACAAATATTGTATTGCTAAATTCATTAAACTATTCGGTGTAACTAAATTCAATGACAAAACGATTGATTGAATATGAATTATTGAAAACCTATAAATTAATTACTAATGGCAATAAGCTGGAGTAATTTGAGGTAAAAAAAAAATTGAAATAATAAATGGTAACTTTATGAGATTATTATTTTTGACTCAAATCATCATTTTAAATTAGACTCAAAAAAAAAAAAAAAATAATTTTTGTTCTTTACGAATTCCTGTTGATAGTCTTTTGATTTTATATTGATAATTTAAAAAGCTATTAAGGGAGATAGCCACTGTGACGGCCGAAAGAATAGCTGATTTTCAGCAATTTTTTTTATCGTAAAAATCAAGAAATATTGGTATCAGGTTCGCTTTTTTCCAATCAAATGTACTTTGAAGATTAATATCTTAAATTTTCAGTTAAATTAAAATTTTCAAAATTATCTACCTTCAACCTTAGCGACTATAAAGACGAACAAAATAAAAAAAATTTGAAAATCGGTTGAGATTTGTTTGAGTTATCAATGCAACCAGTTTGAAAAAGTCATTTTGAAAAAAACGCGCTTAAAGTTTTTAGTCTATTTTATCTTACGTTACTCTAAAATCATGTATCTCATATAATATTTATACTTGAATGAAACTATCGAGTCCTAGGCCTTATGAAAGTTCTTCCTCCTTATCTCTAGTGTTGTCCCTGACTCTTTTAATCTTTTTATTAACTGTTTCAATTCGTATTTTAGCGGATTCGAAATTTTTGTCGGAGGGCTGAGAGTGAAAACGGTCTCGGTCTACCTGCTCTCACTAAAGTGACTATAACTCCGAAAATTTTATAAATTTTGATCTAAAATTTAATTTTTAAAAAACAATTTATTTTCTTCGTCACAATTGCTATCTTACTTAAATAAAACCCAAAACTTGTAAATTTACCAAATTTATAGGTGTTGCAAATACCATTTTAAGGTTCAGCATGGCACCATACCCATAACCTCACAAAACGCTACAAACTCCATCTTTGATTTCCACATCGCAAGCTTCCCTAAATATCTAACCTCGAAAACTCTCACCTAACCTCCAAAATTGCTTTCAGGGTCCCGTAGACGAGAGTCCATCTTTAAAATGGGCGCGTCCACCAGTTCCCGAGCTAGACCCGAGCAAAGATGCCCTAATCTTCCAACAAATCGAAGTAGACCACTACATTGGGAAGCCTATTAATGGAATGCCCGGAAGCAGAGGAGGTTCTATTCCCATAATTCGTATGTTCGGGGTGACCATGTCGGGTAATTCTGTATGCTGTCATGTCCACGGTTTCTGTCCTTACCTCTATGTGTCAGCGCCTCCAAAGTTCACCAATCAGAACTGCCGTCCTTTTCGCGACGCGTTGGACACTGCCCTAAGAAAGGACATGCGTAGTAACCCAGAGAACATTGCCGAGATCGTGCTTGCTGTGTCCTTAGTCCAGAAGAGAAACGTCTACGGATACGCCGGACCCGACTTTAGCCCCTTCCTCAAAATCACCCTGGCGGTTCCCCGGCTGGTCGCCGCTTGTAAACGGGTCCTGGAGCGGGAAGTAGTCTACCCCACATTTACCCACGAGTACCGCGCCTTTGAAAGCAACATCGACTTCGACATCCGCTTCATGGTCGATACCGGTGTCGTCGGGTGTTCTTGGATCGAATTACCTCCGGGGAAATGGCGCCAACGCACCAAACATGGGCATAATCTGCCTATGATCACCCGCTGCCAGATCGAGGCTGACATTGCCTGGGACGAATTCATCGCCCACGCTCCCGAAGGCGAGTGGTCCAAAGTTGCCCCTATCAGAATCATGAGCTTCGATATCGAGTGTGCAGGCCGCAAGGGAATCTTCCCCGAGGCTAACCACGACCCAGTGATCCAGATCGCGAACATGATAATCCGTCAAGGTGAACCTGAACCCTTCCTCCGGAACATCTTTACTCTAGACACTTGCGCCCCCATAGTAGGATGCCAGGTTCTCAGCTTCACTACTGAGAACCTGATGCTGCAAAAATGGGCCGAGTTTGTCCGCGTAGCTGACCCTGATATCTTCACCGGGTATAACATAAACAACTTCGACTTTCCCTATCTGATAAATCGCGCCAACCATCTCAAAGTCAATAATTTCTGTTTCCTGGGAAGAATCAAGGATAAGAAGTCTGTAATCAAAGATACGGTCCTTCAAAACAAACAGATGGGCCGTCGTGAAAATAAGTACATAAACTTCGAAGGTCGCGTACCTTTCGACTTACTTCTGGTTCTAGTTCGCGACTACAAGCTCAGATCCTACACCCTGAACGCGGTCAGTTACCACTTTCTGCAAGAGCAAAAGGAAGATGTCCACCACAGCATAATAACTGATCTACAAAATGGCGATGCGCAGACACGCCGTCGGTTGGCAGTTTACTGCTTAAAGGACGCTTATCTTCCACTGCGTCTCCTGGACAAACTAATGTGTATTATTATTTATATGGAAATGGCGCGTGTTACTGGTGTAACGTTGCCCAGTTTGCTCACTCGCGGCCAGCAGATAAAAGTAGTATCCCAGTTGCTCCGCAAGACGCGCGAGCACGACTACTTGATGCCAGTCCATACTGGTGCTATTAGCGAGGAACAATTTGATGGCGCCACTGTATTGGAACCAAAGCGCGGGTACTATAGTGACCCAATAGCGACTCTTGATTTCAGTTCTCTGTATCCCAGTATTATAATGGCACACAATTTGTGCTACACCACTCTGTTGTCCCAGGGTGCCAAGAATAAGCTGTCTATCAGCGATGAAGATATTACCTGGACTCCATCGAATTCTATGTTCGTGAAAAGCAACCTGCGCAAAGGAATCCTCCCGGAAATTTTGGAGCATCTGCTGCAGGCGCGTAAGAAAGCCAAGGCTGAACTGAAGAAAGAAACAGATCCTCTTAAGCAGAAGGTTCTTGATGGAAGACAATATGCGCTGAAAGTCTCTGCTAATTCTGTCTACGGATTTACTGGAGCCCAAGTTGGGAAGCTTCCTTGTCTGGAAATCTCCGCTAGTGTCACCGCGTTTGGACGGCAGATGATTGACTTCACCAAGCAGCAAGTGGAAGAGCAGTACCGTATCGCGAATGGATATGAGCATGACGCGAAAGTTATTTATGGAGACACTGATTCGGTAATGGTTAAGTTTGGAACCAAGAAGATTGAAGAGGCCATGAGGTTAGGTCAGGAAGCTGCGGACTTCGTTACCGGGAAGTTCATCAAGCCGATAAAGCTCGAGTTTGAGAAGGTCTATTTCCCGTACTTGCTGATCACTATTGCATTGGTTATTTTTTTCGAAATTATTGAAACTTTTAATTGATTAAGTGTGTTCTCTATGCTACAATCAAATGGTCCAGTGACTTTCAACTATTGTGTTCTCACAACTCAAAGAGGATTTAAGTTTGCTCATCAATATCATTCTGACTTAAATTTTTGTCAAATAAAATTTTTGACGTTTGCACATATGACAGTGTGATTTTATAGACGAAAATTTCCAGGTATAGTATCATAAGAAATCTATAATATCGATTGAATTAGACTTGTTTTGCAGTCGGTAACGCGGCTGAATTTTTTTAAACGTATGACGTTAGGGAAACATCACGTTTAGACCCTTGAACGATTTACAAATGGCACGCTTGTGATGCTATCGCTTTTAGAAGCTTTACATTTTTGAAATATAACGTTTCTTAACATGAACGTTCTTTAGACATCACATTTCTAGCATATACATTTTAGGATTAAGTAACGTTTATGAAAACTAATTTTCGGCAAGTATCACATTTCTTAAATGTGCTTATCTCGATATCAGACGTTGGGGATAGTGCACCTTACTAAAAACATATACGTTTTGTATAGTCTCTGTTAGGACTAAGTTGTGGCACCCGTTCCACGTTGTCGCCACTACCTTGAGCACTGACGTGCTACCTCGCGGTGATGTCAGGTACTGGCGCGAGCGCCAAAGTTTAAAATTTATTTAAAAAATTAAATCTTTAAATAGGAAAGATTTATTTTTAAGGTAGTAAAATTAAGATTAAATAAGTTAGAAAATAAATTATCGAAAAATTTCTAACTGAGCTCATTAAATATTCATGGGATTACTAATTTATAAGAATAGGAAGTACTTCTCAATAATTTTAAGGTCGAACGTCATAACTGGTATTTTAATTTTGATATTCAAATTATTAGATATATTGGTTATTTTAAATTGTTTTTTGGCCTTGAGACAAATTTTACTTTCAAGGCTTGTAGCATTAAAAGAGTTCTTTTAGTTAATTCGCCGTTAAGGATCTTTTTAAATTTTTTATTAGATTATTAAAAAAAGTTTTTTAGAAATTTTTAAATTTTTAATTTCACGTTTTTTTAAGTTTTTAAAAATTTTTCTAATTAATTCGCAAATAAAAACTTTTTAAATTTAAATTTTTTGTAAAAAAATTTAATTTTATTTAATTAAAAAAAAAAATAAATAAGAAGTTGATTTATTAGCATGTACTTACCTTAATTAAACCAAAACTTCTTTTTCAATAACACTTCCGTGATCACTAAAATAACTATTATGATTATTATGATTATAATGGTCCATGATGAGAGGGAAAATGTGTAAAGTGACTGGATTGTATATATAAATCTGTTAATAAGTAAAAGTGTTAGATGAACTCAAAAAACCAGTCTAAGCGCATCTTCAAATCTCATTCTTAAAATTAAAAAACTAGATAAATTAAACCATGCCAAAAATTAATAAAATTAATTTAATTTTTATAATTATTTATGTTATAGTGATCCCTGATTAAAAAAAAGTATTGAAAAAGTATGTAATTCAATACTTTTTCAATACTTTTCACACACTGTATATTTATATATACATACAATATAGATATTGGCTGGGTGCGAAGTATATGGTGGGGAGGGCTGGCGCTGACTACCACTTTTACGTGTAAATCTTATGAGAAGAGCATGATTTAACGCTAATGGCGACCACTGGAACTAAATTACTCCGTTTGATTTAACACAGGAAAAGCATGAAAAATGAGGGCAGCACCATCGTGCACCTGGCCAATACAGTTGCATGGTTCAATACTTTTTTTAAATCAGGGATTAGCAGTGTGCTAGGTGTGAGTGAAAAAAAGCCGAAAATTAGGAAGAAAAATGTTAACTCGCGACTCGAGACTTTTGAAAGTAAAAAATTTGAAATAATTATTTAGATAAATTGTTGAAAGAAATTTTGGTTTTTAGATTGACTTACACGGAGAAAATTAAATGATTGGAGTTATTTTTGATCAAAATTTATCCAAATCAAAAGGGGTCAATTCCAACTGTAGGTCAATTTGACATGGAATGACCCAACTATATTTTACTATTAAGCCGCAATAACAGTAGTAATCCTGTTGCTGTAACAGGAATTTTTCCTGTTGCTGCAACATGACTGCCTCCTGTTGCAGCTACAGTCTACAGTTAATTTTTTTCGGTGTACCATCATGTCAACAAACATGTGATCTGAGGCTTTTTTTATTTATTTCCCGTGAAGTGTATACTATTTTTTTGTCCGACGAAGACGGAAGCGGTAACTTTGTTTATAGCGCAGCAAGACGAAAGTTGCCACTTTCCGCCCGGAGGGCAAACAAATTTTTTTCTTACTACCATTAAGATGATAACAGCTACACGCACGCAAGCAAGCTAGCACACACACACACACACACACACACACACACACACACACACACACACACACACACACACGGACACGGACACTATCGCGGGAATAGTCAGGAAGCTTCCTACTAGGACCTGGAAACGTTGAGATTCGATGAAAACTAAAAAATAACGTATATTTTCGTTTTTAACCGTGGCGCTGATGTTTAAATTCTACTTAATTTAGATGGTAACTGTAACCAGCTTGATTGTAAATACAACCATTTAAAATGATAATTGTAACTATCTCTAAGTAACACATGATTGTAACAGTTACCATAAATATGATTTATACAATCATACAGGTAGTTGTCACTACCATCGGGTTGATGGTAAAAAGTTTTACCATAAATAGATAGTAAGTGCTATCGTTTAATTTTCTCCGTGTAGACATACAGACACCATCGCGGGGATAGTCAGGAAAGCTTCCTAGGAACTCAAAACGTCGAGATCTGATGAAAACTCGATTTTCGAAAAACGGGATAGAAACAATAATTTCCCGATTTTTGAAAATTTTCAATTTTTAACGGGAAGTTAAAAATTTTTGTAAATGTGGTTTTTTTTTAATAACTTGTAAACGGCTCTACCGATTAATTCCAAAAACTAATCAGTTCTTAACATCAAAAAACCACGTCGATCGCTGCCAGTCTGATCAAAATCGGTTAATTCGTTCGTGAGTTATCGTTGATGAAAGAAAACCGAAATAAGTGTTTTTTTTTCGGAATTGCTCCGAAATTTGTAGTTCGATCAAATTAAACTTAAATATTCTTTATGAGGCTTAAAAAATTGCATTGAATGCCGCCAACCACGTAAAAATCGGTCCCTTTATTCAAAAGTTATCGCGGTTTGAAAATTTTAAAAATAGTGTTGTGTCCAACTTCTATCAGACTTTTGAGCTCGAAGAGCTAAATAATATTTGTATGTATTTATATGGATAAAAAATAAATGTCAAACGTTCAGTAATGAGACAACAACGCTATTTTAACGTTTTCGGCGATACGGTAGATACGAGGTTTTTGAATTCGAACATGAAGATACGAGAAAGATCAAAAGCCTCTAAAAAAAATTCTATCATCATTATGAACATTGCATGTTTGGTTTTACGTTACAAGAATGCTAAGGAGTGATTTTCGCTAAAAATCTCAAAATTGGAAAAAAATGGAGTTACGAGGTTTACACAGAAAGGGGACGATATATAATATATGTAAAAATATAAAGTATACTTTATATATATAAAAAATTGATGTGGGTACTCAAATGAAAGGTCTCGATGAGTGTAACATCGAGATGAGCTTATATCATAAAAAATGTCAATATATTTTTAAAATGTCAATATAATTATAATTAAGAAATGACCTTGTATCTTGAGAACTATTGACATTTTTGAAGATATAAGCTCACTCCGACATTACACTTATCGAGACCTTTGATTGAGTACCCACATCAATTTTTCATATATATATATATATATATATATATATATATATATATATA